CTTTCTCAATGTTTTTATTTGTCTGAGGTATTTGTGTCTCCATGATTATTTCTTTTCTTTCCATCATTATCAAATCTCAACGTCTTTTACCATATTCAAAACTCTTGTCATTAAGTAGTTTACGAAATGTGGTTTGAGAAAAAGCTGGTAGGGCCTCATCATCCTTCAATCTTTTCATTATGCTGACCATTTTCATTATTTGAGATTTCAATCCCTCACCGTAAGTATTCTCACATGAATTGGACTGGAAACTGTTTTTCTTTCTTTTTTGTACCGGTTTGAAAAATTTAATGTTGCATTGAAGAAAAATGTGCTAACATATAATAAATAAAATATTTATTAACTAAGATATACATAAGAAAGTATTTTGACTAAAATTTATCATCATAAGTTTTTCAAAACATAAAATATACCATTTAAATCATTCAGAGTCTGAGGAGTCTGGATTTATTGTTGTTGGTTCGATATAGGTGTCTACTATTTTGTCCAACTTCCAAATTTTGGACTTGCCTTTTTATTCAACATGTTGCACACATTTATGCCATGTCTTATAAAGTAATATTATTATTTATTAAAAAAAATTATGCCATGTCTTATAAAGTAATATTATTATTGTATTAAAAATTTTTTTTTTATGTGTGACCAGATGAGTTCAATCGGATTGAGCTCACAATGGCATGGTTTCAACCTTAAAACTATTTTGTTTTGGCTTCTTGTCATCTTATAAGTTATATTTGTCCCTTATGTTGCTTAGCAATAGCTAACAGTTGTCTAATATCAGTCTTTCTAGAAGCAGTAGTTGAAATTTTTTGGAATGATAAGACGCGTTGTCCAATACAGTGATGGAATTTTCTTCTAATCGGAGTAGTATATTTGTCTACAAGTTTTCAAAAGATTTCCCGTCTATCTCTTCATCGAAGTCCCCACTTTTTTTATTTGAACACACAAAGTGCTTCTGGAACAAACCCATCTTCACTGCCAATGTGACAAATTATTAGTATTTTTCATTTTTTCAAAAATTTGGCTATTTTAAAATTTACTTGAAGTCAAAAAGGACGTATAACATTTACCTTCAGGATTTTTTACACCCGTAGAAAATCCACCTAAAAACGCTTGTTTATAAGATGTCGACCCGTTTTTTCGAATTTATTTTGATCAGAAAATCTCGTCTCTCCAGAACTATGACTTAGAAGAAACTTGGCAAAAACTTAAAGAATCTCTCCTAGATGGGGGCAAGAAAATTTGCGGAATAGCTAAAATCAATAAAAACAGACAATGTACGAATTGGTGGAGTAATGAAATAAAAGAAGAGGTCAAATCCAAGAAGCTAGCCTAACCAAAAACTATTTTACAAAACTCTGAGAAGTCTAAGAACAGAGAACAGACAACAAACACCAAAACAAATTAAAAACAAAGATGGCCACATCCTCTGCGAGAACGAAAGTATTATGAACAGGTGGAGAGAATATTTCGAAGACCTTCTGACTCAAAAAGACTATAATAATGAAATAGACAACACTGAAGAAAACACATCTGAGAACCCAAACCAAAACGAAATAACAATAGAAGAAATAAGAGAAATAATACTCAGGCTCAAAAGAGGAAAGGCAGCTGGCTATGATAAGATAACTGCGGAAATGCTAAAAAATATGGGATAAAATGGAAATGAAATGCTTAGAAAAGTTTGCAATAAAGCATGGAATGAGAACAAGATCCCAAAAGACTGGGAAGTGGGCGTTATTCTACCCATTTTCAAAAAAGGTGACAGACGAGAATTCAGCAACTACAGAGGTGTAACTCTCCTGAGTATCCCTTCCAAAGTTTACGAACGACTACTGGAGAAAAGACTACTACAAGAAGTAGACCATAAGCTGGAGCAGTCACAGAGCGGTTTCAGGAAGGGAAGAAGCATCCATGACCATATTTTTACACTCAAGCATCTAATACAAAATGCACGAAATACAAGCACGGAACTATACCAAGCCTTCATAGACCTCGAAAAAGCATTTGATAGAACACCACGACCCGAAATAGACAAAAGCCTAAGAAACAGAGAAGTAGACAGCAAACTCAGAAAAGCTATTAGGAGTCTATACAAGAACACAAGAAACAGGGTAAGAACAGATAATATGGAATCAGAATAGTTTAGAGTCAATGATGGCTTACGACAAGGAGGTGTACTAGGCCCCATCCTGTTCAATATTGTACTAGATGATGTAATGAAGGAAACTAGAGAAGAAACATCGAGATTATTTGTTGGACATAGAAACCTGGAAATGATACAGATTGGGGAGTGCGCATTTGCATATGACCTCGTCGTATTTGGAAGAAACGAGGACGCACTTAAGAGAAACCTCCAAATATGGAGAGATAAACTTGAGAAACGCAATCTGAGAATTAATGAAAGTAAAACCAAAGTGATGGTATGTGGGAAAACAGACCAACATACAAACATTAAAATCAATAACTATACTTTAGAACAAGTAGAAACCTTTAAATACCTGGGAGTGCAACTAGAGAGTAGGGGTACACAAGAAGCAGAGATAAATAATCGAATAGCAAACGCTTCCCGGATATACCACGCAATTAAGAGCACATTCCTATCGAAAAAAGAAGTATCCCAAAAAGCAAAGATAGCTATCTACAACACAGTTTTTGTACCTATCTTAATATTTGGATGTGAAAGCTGGACGCTTACCACCAGACTAAAAAGTAAACTGCAAAGTATATCAATGAAGTATCTAAGAAGAGTACTAGGGGTGACCAGAATGGACAGGATACGGAACAATGAAATAAGAGAACGCCTTAAAGTCCAGTCAATAGAGAAGAAAATCGAAGAAGCCCAACTGAGATGGTACGGCCACATGGTAAGAATGGATAAAAAAAGCCAAGTGAAACAAGTGTGGGAAGCGAGAAGAACCTTGAAAAGACCGAGAGGCAGACCTATGAAGACCTGGGACGATGAAATTGCCGCCATCCTAGACAGGAGAGGAGTCACCAAGGAGCAAGCGAAGAAGTTGGCAAGCAACAAGAAGAATTGGAGGAAGTTTGTACATGAAAACTAAAAGAGACTTTACACCCAACACCTTAGGGTAGAAGGGTTATTGATTATATATATATACATATATATATATATATATATATATATATATATATATATATACATATATATATATATATATATATATATATATATATATATATATATATATATAAATCTCGTCTCTGCAAGACAATTTCATCTCTATCCATCAAAATGCTTTTTCGCTGACGACGTTAAAACTTGAAATTTATTATTTTTTTTTCAATAATTAAAAAAACAGTTCTTTTGAAATTAGGCAAAACCAGATTTTCAATAACAATCCTCAGAACTTTATCTGGGTATTATCTATGGGTATATCTTTATGGGTATTTCATTTCGAAAAAAAAAATGTGGATTATTCTTCTTATATCTTCTATCAAATTCATCAAGCTTCCGGTAAGGGTCTAAAATAAATATTTATTTGAAATATAAAAGAACAAAGAAATTTTTCGGCTTACCTTTTCAAGAGAGCACTCAAACAAAATTTCATCCTGTATGCTGGACGTTCAAAGTGAGAAAAGAAAGATAAATTACGTGAAGGTTAATAGCTCCGCTTTTGGGGTCAAAGTCGGAACTATTGTAAAATGCATTTGGATCCTTGAGGTAATTTAGGTGCTTCCGCACTCGACGGATAGATGGCGTGAGAAACATTAATTTGACTATTTACAGAAAGAAAGAAATTTAAAGAAACTGTTACAGAAATAGCAGTTTTCGACTTTGTAGGCTTCTCCTATATTTCCGTTTTAAATAGATTTATGATCATTTAATTTGTTTGTGGTAACCGTAGTTCATAGGCTATGCTACTGGCTTAACAAGCTGGAGGGTCCGGGTTCGGATCCCGGCACCAACAAAATTTTCAATTTTCAATTTAACTGAGCTGCCACCGTGCTTCGTAGGGCACGTAAAGCCTTCGGTCCCGGCTACAAAAGTAGTCGTTAAGTCATGTTAGGGGCGCTTGCGTGACCTGAAAACCCTAACACTAGACCTTAGTCAGAAGATTGCACGAACTTTACTTTAGATTAATTCGTTTTAACGTCAAAATATCCCTTTACTGGCATTTTTAGGTGGACTGGAGGTTACATCAATCTCAAGGAGTTCGTCTGCTGTATCAGAGCTTGATATTTATCTTGTCCTATTATCTCAAATAAGTTGGTTAAGAGAAGGTCAGAAGTAGCCTAGATAAAAATAGTATGTATTGTAATAAAACTAAGTTCATCGAAATTAAACTGCATTCTGTATACTTCTTCGAGTATAGAAAATAAAATAAAACTTTTCGAAAAATTAATAAATTATAATATTGGTTTCTCTTACCTTTACCTAAGGGATTACCACAAGCTATTTTGATGAATAAATACTTTGTTTTTTAATACTAAAAGTTTACTAAACATTATAAAACTTGACCACTGAATTACTCGACAATAACGTTACAAAAACACAAAATATATTAACGTATAATGTAACAAAATATATACACCAACACACTACAATTTGAATATAATAGACTGTGCAGTTTAAACCTGTAAAATGAGAAAGCGAAGCTTGTATATAGACGCCTATATTCTTTGGAAACGTTGGTTAAATATGTTGGGAATATGCACTTTCAATAAGGTTGTATAATGTTGTTTTAATGAAAATATTTTGTGGAGTATGACACACTATAAAAGAGAACTTGTCATTATGTTTACTATGAATGCTTCAATGTTAATACGTATGTAGTATCGATTCAAAAATAATTGAATGGAATAACTTGGTGTCAAGTGTATAAATGAAAGACAATTTGTCCGATGTAAATATTTTAGAATTGCTTTACCAATCAATTAAATTTACAATAACTTAAAAAAAATCGGTGTATGATGAACTTGTTTTAATTTCTGTATACTTTCAAGATCAATTTTTGACGGTATATTTTTTGTTGCAGATTTTGGAGAAAGATGTAATCTCTAGGAAAATATGTACCAATTGCAGTAAAGTGGTTATTAAAATGCACGAATTCAGAGAGAGATCTATTAGGACTGACAAGTTTCTTAAGGTAAGCTATAATTATTTTATTTTAATACATTTGCCTAATACCAAGAATAAAAAGAATAGTCTAAATTTTTATCTATTTTTGAATCATAAATTCGAGGCTAGTGACATACTTTCAATTCATGTTATAAAATGGTTGTTCCATAAAATAGAATCTTGCTAAGGTGTATATGATAATCCAAATACTTTGTATCAATATGTGTGTTGCAGTTTCGGAACTGTGTCTAAACATTTGTAATATTTTAACAGACTTTTTGTTAGTTTTGATTCTCCCCGTAGTATATTTAAACAAGATTCCGTGTACAAAAATACAGCTGTGTTAAAAACTAAACATTACAAGATGAGCCATCTGCAAAATGACACAGACGTGTGTTAGAGATAAGAGACGAATTCTACATGCAAAAACACAGTCGAGTTTTATCTCCCAATCGACACACATGTGTGTGTGGATTAATAGCAGCGCTTTGTAGGGGACTTCGCTTCGGTCTTGTGCGAGATATAAGTCGTTCTATGCAGTAAGGGTGAAGGCTTGTCTATTATCAATACCTTGTGGTTCCTGTGTATCCTTGAAGACGTCTTTTTCGATAGCAGTTGGTGCTATCGTTTCATTGGGGTAAAGTACAATACGCCATTTATCTTGTTGCTGCATGGATCAAGTACGTTTACTTGGTGCCAAATTATTACATATTGTGTCGCGATTTTGAACATTTTACTTTTAGTGCGAATTCGTTTTATTGTGCTGTACTGTATTATACATTGTGTCGCCCGTTGAGAATATTTTACGTTTACTTAAAGATTTTTTACTGTATCGGTAATTATTATTAACTTGTTTGTATTAATAATTGTATTGATTTATTATTAATTGACGACATATTTTATTGTATTAACATCACTATTGTTGCGTACAATTTACATGCCGATTTTACTAAATTGTATTAAATTTGCTATTAATTGAATGTGTAGTGTATTACTGATTTTCCTTTTGAACAGCCTTTATTATTACTTATATTTTATTGATTTATTTTACATTACATTTTTTTGTGTCTTTATTAACAAGGCTGATTCATTTTACCACCGATTAATGATATCATTATATGTATCGATGTTTTTTACCAGTTCTGAGATTTTAGTGTTTTGAGTGATTGCCGCCTGTACACTTTTCTGTACACTTTTCTTTTGTAAATTTATTCTTAGCTATAGTCGGAATTGAATAGGATAGTCAGGTTATCGCTTAGAAATGATAGACTGTCGAGGGGTCCGAGATGAGAGACGCGTGTAGTTCAATAGTGGCGTGTATATTTTTAAAATATGGGAAATAATAGGGAACTTCACATAAAAATATTTTTGCGTCAACGGTCAAATTGTTAATTTATGTTAAATATATTTTGTTAAAATGATATGTAAAAATATTATATTCAAAATATTACGTCTTAACAATTAATTGTGTAGATGGACACACAATATTTTCATTCATTTATATTATTTTTAGTTTAAGAAATATGTTCATGTTTATTTTAGAACATCTCAAATGCTAAAATTATACTTACTTACTTAAGCCATCCTCTTGTATCTCGGTGTCGAGATGCTAAATTATATTATATTTTAAATCCAAAACTTTCTTCCCTTATAATAATGAAATGTTACGAATATATTTTTGGTTCGTAATAATTTGTAATAAACAAAACCTATAATTAATAAATATCTTAAATTCATAACAAACAAGAAAGAAAATAACTTAAAAATATAAACAAAACTTTTAGTAATAAACGTAACAATAACTAATAACTATTGTATCGCCTTGCATTTCTCCAATAGAATATCTTCCACTGCTTTTTATAAAAATTTTCCACCATTAAGACATCAAACTGTAGATGCATTGTCAGATTAACCCTTTAATTGATAATGTATCTTTAAAGATACATATCAAGGAAAAATTTGTATCAACGTATTTTCTTTAAAAATATGCCAGTCTTTGGTAATGTATCTTTAAATACACCCTTTCTTTTATAACTAGTTGTGAGTCGCCATCTATAGGATCTATTACAAACGTTCTACAGGTGACGTAAATTTACCATGTTGCAATTTTTAGGTTAGTGAACTAACTGATCCCATGTAAACAGCGTTTATTGAAAAGTTTTTAGAGATTTTATGCTGATAACTGTTTATTTTGGTAAAGGTAAGTCTACTGAGATGTAATATTAAGTTGTTTGTTCCATATTATTTTATAATTTTTGTATGAAGTCTCATTTAAAACTATGTATCTTTAAAGAAACATTGCCGGGTTCTCAGTTATAACGAACGGATTTTAGTGGTATCTTAAAAGATACATTGCCTAACAATGTGGTATGAATAATTAGATAAATTAACTTGTTATTTTTTGTTTTCAGATGGCAAGTCGCGAATTTGGAGTTTATTCTAAACGAACAATGAATATAATCGCAATGTTACCACCAATAGACTCTGACGATTCGGATGTTTCAGACACAGAGGATGTTTTGGAAACAAATTATGACCAAAATAATATGGACATTGAAATTATATTTGATGATAATATGTATTTAGAACCATTTCAGAGTGAAAATGATGTTGCCACAGAATCTGTTCGAAGATCAGAAAGAGCTTTAAACAATTCTTTGACTTCATTAGAACCAAATATACCGGATCCTTTACCACCTGTACCTAAGAAGGTTAACATTCAACGGCAGAAAATGGATTTTAATTTTAACTCTCCAGAGTTTTGTTATCCAGTAGAAATTCCAGAACCTATTTGCAGTAGTATAACTGATATTTCATCACCATTGACTTATTTCCAAATGTTTTTCAAGGACGATCTGTTTTCGATAATTGCAGAAAATACAAATCTGTATTCAACCCAGAGAACAGGTAAATCCGTAGCCACTGATATTAAGGAAATAAAATCTTTCGTTGGCATTGAGCTGTTGATGGGTATAGTCAGCATGCCTTCCTATTGCGATTTTTGGTCTCAATTATTCCGTTATGATCAAGTAGCTGACGTGATGCCTCTGAAACGTTATCAAAGTCTCAGAAGAAACATTCATTTCGCAAACAATGAAGATGATAATGGCACCGACAGGTACTTTAAAGTCCGTCCATTGTTGGAACATGTACGCCAAAACTGCTTAGCGATTCCAGAAGAACAGCGTTTTTCGATAGATGAAATGATGGTCCCATATAAGGGAACACGAGCAGGAACTAGACGACAATATATAAAAACAAGCCGAAAAAATGGGGGTTTAAATTATTTGTTAGATGTGGAGTGAGCGGTATTGTATATGATTTTTTTCCTTATGCTGGTGAAAATACCTTTTTGAATCACATTTTTACAAATTATGAGGAAAAATACTTTGGAATACCGCAGAAAGTGGTAGTAGCCTTATGTAGAAGTATTCATGAGAAACCATGTAAAATTGTATATTTTGATAATTGGTTTACTTCACTTGAATTAGTTACATATCTAAGAAGTGAGTTAGGCATATTCAGCCTAGGGACAGTTCAAAAAAATAGAATAAGAAATTGTACTATGGTTTCTGACAAGGTGTTACTTAAAAGAGGACGAGGTAGCTTCGAAAGTGTTAGCGACAACGAAATGAAAATTAGTATTACCAAATGGGCAGATAATAAATGTGTTAATTTAGTATCATCATTTTCTGATACTACAACAACATCTCATGTTCAAAGATACTGTAAGGAACAAAAGAAAAAAATTAACGTATTATGTCCCCAGGTAGTTTTAGAATATAATAAGCATATGGGAGGCGTAGACCTTGCTGACATGCTTGTGTCTTTATATCGAACTGGCCTAAAGTCACATCGATGGTACCTGAAGTTGCTAGCCCAAATGCTCGATATAAGTGTAAATAATGGATGGCTGCTTTATAGAAGACACTGCAATGCACTGAACATTAAAAAAATCATTCCATTGAAAACGTTCCGCAACGACATTATTCAAAGTCTACTAAAATCAAATAAAGCAAAAATAGGTCGCCCAGCTGCTTGGTCATTTCCTAACAAACAAATCCGAAGTCCGGTAGTTACTAGGCCGACCGACGATACTAGGCTAGATAACATTGATCATTTTCCCTTAACAACAACTAAAGGTCGGTGTCGTTTGTGCCCTAAAGGACAAACTACATTTATGTGTCAGAAGTGTAATACACGACTGTGTATTATCTCTGAAAGGAACTGTTTTATGACTTACCATAAAACTAAATTGTAATTATTTTTATTAAAGCATTTATTAGTAGTAATCTTTTATTTTTTAACCCTATTGATGTTATATAATTCAAGCAAAGTATTTTAAACATTCAAAATTAACTAAACGTTATATCTTGACTTTTTGGCAATGTATCCTATAGGATACAATCTGTAAAAAAAAAGTATGAAATGGAAAACAAAAAAAAACTAGAAATTATTTCAAGATGATTGTTTTATGCTACATATTTGAACAAATTTTAATTTTTCAGTAAGTATTTATACCCTTGCCAATTAAAGGGTTAACCTTTTGAAAAATCCTCGTTAGTCATAATATGCGTTTTAAACTAAACATGACGTAGCATTCAAATTGAGCAATTTCCAAGAACACAAATATAATACATGGGAATTTCCAATTAAATACGATTTTAATGGAAATAATAGAACTCCTGAAACAACCTTGTTCTTCCTTTTGAACTTTTAGTTACAATCAATTTCTACATGAGAGTTTTTTTAAGTAAATATGAATGAATTTGTAAATAGGTAATAGTTTCGAAATAACTTAGTCGCTTTGTTTTGACTTCTAGCAGATAGAATGTACATTATTTATTATTATTTTTTTAAATAAAATTCATATTCAAATATAATTACCAACTGGTTTACAGAAAATAATAATTCTAGACCCAGCAACCTAATGTAAACTGCAATTATGAAAAACAAACGTGCCATAATAATAATAATACTGTTATTAGGTACATACCTACACTTCATCTAATTTACATACCAATTCACGTCATCGGCGTTATAGCCCGTGACGTCACATGATACCAACACGAAATATTTAGGCGGTAGGTGTGTTCTTTTTTAGAATCACTTTGCCGAGTACACTGGCATTACAGCCACTAGACATATTTTATTATATACGCGTAGAAATAATATTTAAAAAATTCTATTAATGTTAACTTAAAGAAATACACAATAATATGTTTCATTTAATTTGTATAAATGCATTATAAAGCGTTTTTATGAAGAACATTTGTTCAGAAAACACTGTAACTGTAATAGAACGAAGGTGAAATGTTGGCATAAATTGGTAACACTTATTTGACAGTTGCGGTGTTGACACTTTTTGTACTTTATTATTTTGAATTTTAAAGTGAATATCCCTTGTTTTATATGTTTACCTATTTAATAAAATCTGTTCTTTTTAGAACAAAATTAGTGTGTTTTATTTCAAAAATGTCACGTAAAAAATTAAATAGTCGTTGTAAAGAGATGGTAATACTTGCAATAATTATGTGATCTATTTGATTTAAAATGGAGTCAGGGTTTTTTTATACTTTGGCAACTATGTTAACTTCGATCTCTGACGTAGATAATGACGTGCATCGGTATGTAAATTAGATGAAGTATACGTAGAAAATTATAACCAGATAGGACGAAGGATCGCACAGGTAGTCTCCGAATGTAGCAGCAAAAAATCACTACAACTGTACCTATTAGTTATTATTTTAAAGAAATATTTTTATTTTGAATCACTTCCTGTTGTTAATTCACTATCACTAGTATTTTCTACTGGAGTAAAGATAATGGGCTCGATAAGAACATCAACACGCGTGTCACGTCCCACATTTTATCTTCTTCTTTCTGTGTATGTTTAATGCATGACTGGCAGTTGGAAGCGGTTATATTTTGTATGGCTTGATCTAATAATAATTTGATATCTTTTAATTTAAAGGTTGTATTCTTTTGCGCTACCTCATTTTTTATTTGTGCCAATGTCAGCTCGATGGGATTCAAATCACAATGATACGGTGAAGTTCTTAATACGGTGATGCCATGCTCATGTGCTATTTCGTCTACTGCAAATCTGATGTATGAATTCTTATGTTTGCGCACTATATCAAGTAATTGAACCTTTATCATGGATTCATAAAAATATATATTTTTACTTCTTAGCCAATCTATTATATCTGCCTTTCGAGTTGCAGAAGTCGGTATTTTTTTCATACGGCGGCTGTGATAAATTACCGAACCAGGATCTACAAGAGTCTATATAGACGAAAACCACTTTTCAAACACATCCGCATTCATATCCTCATGATAATCGCCCGTTCTGATCTAGGTAAACACATTTAAACTATCTTGTAAAAAATCTGAGTAACTTCCAATATGCGTTATAATGAAACGTCTATCATTCAATCACCTTTTGTCCGTATAGTAAAGGTTTTTACCAAGTCGTCTAAAATCACGAATTTTTTGCAAATATTTTCTCCGCCATATCACTAATTCGTCTCTCTCGATCAACAAACTTTTCCGATTTCTCTTCACATTCAGAAAGTACAATTCATGTAAAGTTCTTTGTAATACTCTCATGGATATTTTATTTAAAGTATCATTTACATCTGCATTAACTTATTGCTGAATAGCCTTTAACGTGGGCAGTTCGTTCCTGAAATAAAATACATGAACTTTTCTTCGTATTATACTTTTCGTAATATCGTCCAATACAAGTTTTGCACGTCCTATATGGATTGGTTTTTGGATAGGTTTGTTACTTTGAATTATTCGGAAAACATTCGCGACGTCTTCTATAAGCATATCTTCATATCTTCTACGCAATCCCTCATAAACCGATTTTATCATTTGCTTTTCTCTCACAGATAACCACCTTTTTTTATTTTGTTTATTAACAGATGTACTGCACATTGGTTTTGATGCCATGATGTTACCCGACGGTACGCTCATGAAATACTACCAGGCACCTGATTTTAATGGTTATTTGTGGGTGAGTTGTCACAATATTGCCGTATTGCATTAAGAATATTACTTTCGAAAAGAAATAACGGTGTCCGCCTGTCTCTCTGTTGGCACTCAGGATATACCTCCATGACACGGATAAGGTGCAAACGGTACTAAATAATAAATTTCGCAACAAGGCGAGTCTACCTTCTTCAGTTCGGACTTCCAACAGATGTAACCTGCAAAAATGATAATTGATAAGTGGATTTGTGTGCTAATAAAGAAATACATATATTGGCGACGTGCAAGTACTTGGAGGGGATACGAGAAACGATCGTGCGCGAGTAGCGGAGAAATTTTGCATTTTTTAGTGCACATTTCATAGATTTCATAAATTCATATTGTCAATTGTCATATTTCATATTCGTTTTGTTTATTTACATTTACACCTTCTGTCTCTGAAAAAATGGGATTTAGGAAATGCTGTGTTATAAATTGTAAAAATACAACAAAAAATTGTCAATTTAAGTTTTATTCGTTTCCAACTTCAAAGCACAAAGCTACTACAAAGAGAAAAGTGGATTTATATCATAAAAAAGCATAAGTCACATAACCCAAATTATGCATTATTCTTGCGCCCGATTTTAAAGTCAGTTTGAAATAAGTAATAAATAAAAGTTCACTTTTAAGTGTAAATTTTAGTTTCATAATACTTACTTAAAGTTCATTTTAACCCAAAAATCAAGTTTAATGTTTAAATTTTATTTTTTTGAAGTTTACAAAAAATGCATGAAGTTAAAGTTTTTCTGAAGATGCATTAAGATATATTCGCTGTCCAAAAGTTTACAGGGAAAAAATTAATTGTTCAAACAATATGATGATATCATGGACTTAACTGCTAATTTATGCATTAGCATTATTTATGGTAATTTATTTTTCTTAATTCTTCCATTATGTTTTGACATTTCCCACTACTTAAGCTTTTTCCTTTGACTCAGTGCTTGGTTGAAAAGTTATTTGGTGATTTACTTTCTCAAATCCAGTTTTATTATTGAATCCATATTAACAGTCATGCTGTAATTCAATAATATATTTATTTGTATTTACGCTACATCAACGTTTACCTTTTAATAACATACCGACATAACCTCAATCTTACTTTTTCTTCTTATTCTTTTTGGGGCCACGTCCTTGACAGTTATCCGGTTACCTCGATCTAGCATAAAAGCGCAGTAAATTTTGCTGATTTACGACACCAGCTGTCGCTGTTCCGAACTTGCACGGTCCCAATAGCCGCTTATCACCGAGTGTTAACGAACTACAAAATGTCTGCCCTGCCAATCCTATTGAATTCAGGGTATACAAATAAATATTGATTTTAACGTATTTGTCACGTCGCTATTAATTTGTCGCTCTTTATATTTTTATTATATTTGAGAATATATACTATAGGAAGAATCGGAACTAACAAAAGTCTGTTAATGTATTACAAATGTTTAGACACGCGAAACTGCAACAATACGTACAAACATATGTCTGACGATTTTGTTTTCCAATTTGTATTTGAAAGCTGTAATGATCAATAATCGTTAACATATAAAAAATATTCATTGAATCCTTTTTGTTTCAGGAAAAATGTATCGAGCAGTTAAGAGCGACGGAAATGAAAATTCCCAACACCAATGTCACGATTACAACAAGAAAACGACTTAAAAAAGAAAAATTGGGCGATTCCAATCATAATAATCACAATAACTGCAAAAATAAGTTAGATGAATCGAAAGATGAGAATAATAGTTATTCCCATAATTCAAGTATACCTAGAAAAGTGTCGGTTCATAAATCAGTGTCAGAACTATTTTCTCGTCATCCGAATATTAAATTACGTACTGATGTTCTGGTTTTCGATTTCGATCCCTTTGTTAGCTTAGAATTAGATGAAGTAGAAAAATACTGTAATGCTAATAATATAGATTTAAAATTAGCTACTAAAAGAGCATTGCAAGTAAATACTGCTCGTAAAAGGACTAGACCGTTACATAATAAAAAAATCTCGAATTCGAATAGTTCTTCAGAAACGAATATTTCAGAAGACAAAATAATTAGTCCAAATAATCTGCAAAGCGATAAAGATCAGTTGAAAGTGAGTCCCATTAGTATTAAGCTTGTAGATGATAGGTATAATTTTAAAGTAACTCCTGTTAGTATCAAACGCACTGATGATAACGTAAAGTTTACAGTTATTTCTAAAGACACATCTGAACGCAAAAGAGAAAATAGTGATAGTGAAGAGACCATTACTGCCAAAAAAGAAAGCAAAATTAAAAGAAGAAGATTATCTTCGAATGACTTTACATCCGATACAGAACAAACTAATCCAACATTATTTGAAACTTTAGAATTAAAACCCAGTCAACCTTCACCTAAACAAACAAAGACTTATAAATGCAATATTTGCTTATCAGTTCACAAAAACGCAAAGACTCTTAAGCTTCATTATCAAGAACATTTTTGTTGCAGTTTTTGTAAAGCAAGATTTAGACTAATCGAACGTAGAATAAGCCATGAACAGAAATGTACCGTAGGTCACGCCTTAAATAGTAAACCTTACGTCGAATTAACTAGAGTTGATTTGGACTCAAAGGTTAAAAACAAATATCTTAATTGTAATTCTGTCATCAACAAAAATAGTACAAATTGTAACGAAGTTATAGTATTATCCGACGATGACGAACCAGTTATTAAGTCTACTAGCGTATCTAATTCTTTCACATCGAAATCTAATTCTGATTTATCAGTAGGTATAACTGACGCCCAGAATATTCAAAGTAAAGTCAATATGTCGGTAACGTCAGTTGCAAATGAATTCAGTCGTATTGATAAACTGATTAATGAATGTGAAATGGAATTGAACAAAGTTACAACACATTCCTCAGCTAAATCAAACACATGTCCACAGTCCCCTGCTACAGTCGGAAACAACGAGATTTTACCTCAAATTGAGGTATCAAGCTCTCCCAATGTAGATGTGTTGCCAGTTCAATATTCTAGCACAGCAATAGTGAGGCCCGATATTAGAATAAAAAACGACACTTTACTAAATACCAATAATTTAAATAGTTCCGATATTCCTCTACTACAAGAATTATTACGACACGCAAAACGACTCAATAAGTCTTTAAAAAAACCAACTACTGAGGATATAACCAGAAATGGGACGATGAAAAATATGTTTTTGCAATTACGCGTGTATAAAGTTCCAATAAATATTCGACATGGTGAACATTGTGTAACCATCTCTGAACCGGAACCTGACGTAAACAAAGAGGTAACAATGTGGAATGACATAACACCATTGCCCTTAATTAATAAAAAGACAAATATGGATATCACTAATATAACATTGAAACCAAGTCAAACTGTACCAATAAATACCGTAAATACAAATAATCCAGCGACATTGCAACATAGTGTTTCAGTTCCGATTATTTTGAATGGTACAGTATCAAGAATTAATCCAACGCTAGCAAATATGTTAACGCCCAATACCCAATACTCCAAAACGAATTCTTCATATCCAAATCACACAATAGTATCTAGTCCTAATATACCTTCACAATCTTCCTTAACGGTAACATCTCCTAATGGTGTTCGAACCGTTTTTTCCCAACGTTTTACCCCCAATTTTCTTATTACTTCAAACGCACTTAATTCTACGAATAATACTTCACCAGTGAATAGTAATGCCAGTTCTCCACAACTGGTTCCTCGTAATCTAAACAGCGCAATAGTTAATAACGCTACAAATAATTCTCGACTAGAATTTGTACCCCTACCAAGTACAGCAATTAATTTAACAAATAATATTTCTCAATTTTTTAGACCACCTGGCGGTGTCGTTATGACAAATAGTCGATCAGTTTTAAGACCTGCTTCAAATCCTGTAGTAACTGATCGTAACATTATCACTAACAATCGTTTGAGTACTTCACCTACCCAAAACAATGGGCAATTTGCATATTCTAATAGTAATAATCGACAGATTACTGCACCTATGTTAAATAACCAGTGCGTCGTACTTAATGCTACAGTCGCAAATGCTAGTACAACTCCGAATGCAATTACAAGCAATAATATTCAACAGAATATATTGAACACAACAACTCTTATGCCAAATAATAATACCAATAATAATTATAGTACGTCTAGTCCCTGTGAAACTTCTGTTGCACCTAATAATTTCACTTTTTCCAAACCCATCATTAGAGTTAAAAATATATGTGAATTAAAATAAATTATTGCCATTAAATGGATTTTTATATTTTTTGTATTATATTTATAATAATAAATTATTACTGCCTAGTTTTTTTATTACCTCTAGGATATCCAGATTCCATCCAAATTAGATATTAATTATTAAATGGTGGAAAAGTTATTTGGTGGTTGAGTAATATCTACTAAATATCAGTTTTTGAATGAGAAATAAATTTAGTCGCAAAAGTTGCACCACCAAAAATTATGCTCGTTTTGATATAATAAAACAATTTTTAATTAGAGGTGATTACTTAGCAACATCGCACTTAACGAAGCCCTTAACGTTAACTTTGCAACGAAATCATATTCCACTTTTGCAGAGGGGTACCAAAAAAATTAATTATTTATTTAAACACATAAGTAATTACGTAAAAATTTTTTTTTTTTTTTTTTTTTATTTAAATTAACGTGCATGTGACATCTATGGTCATTAGCACGAGTTACGATTTACATGGTAATATAATATAAATTACAAAATAAAATGTAGTTAACATCTAACATACAGAGAAAATAATAAAAACTTGTAATATAACATTTATATTTTGTTGAGCAGTTGACTATTCTCGAGGAATTTGATGACCTTGTTGATTTCGTCTGTGTTGTTTAGGACCTCTTTGAAGTTAGTACTGATATTGAGCTGTTGGCGTATTTTGGCATATAAAGGGCATTCGATAAGTATATGCCTGATTCGGAGAGTCGTATTGCAGTGTTGACATTTTGGTTGTGGAGATGATGTCATCAGGTAGCCATGAGTTAGACGGGTATGTCCAATACGCAGTCTCCGTATGATTGCCATATTTTTTCGAGATAAACTGGATAGGTAAGACGGTTCACTGTAGGTTTGATTTCATGCAGTGCTGAGGTAACATTATTCCAGTGAATCTGCCACGTAGATAAATTAAGCTTCTTTAGTCTGGCTTTCAGATCATTACAAATTTGTATGTTTATAATGGTGTTCGTGGATGATGCGGCTTTTTTGGCAAGGCAATCAGCTTTTTCGTTACCACTAATACCAACATGGGATGGTACCCATATCAGAGTGATAGTTATATTTTGTTTTATAAGAAGCTGATATATGTCATGAATATCTTGGACGATAGGATGTTTGGTGGATATAGCATTAATGGAGTGTATAGATGAAAGCGAATCGAAGCATATGGCTATGTGTGTATTTGTATATCGTTGGGCATATTTAAAAGCTTGTAAGATAGCTAGTAGTTCACCAGTGTGGATACTACACCAAGGAGAGATTTTAGAGAGTTCGATAGGCTGTTGTACAGTGGTTACAGAATATCCAACCCCACCTTCAGTCTTCGACGCGTCAGTGTAAAGAACCATGTTATATTTATTTTTGTTTATAAGTTCTAGGAAGAGAATTCTTAATGTACTAATACTGGTATCTTCCTTGTTAAACTTGGTGAGTGAAATATCATGATATGGGAGTATGTTGGTCCAATAGGGATTATTGGAGAATGGTAGAGTTCTGGTTTCACACAAATTTATATCTTTTAGTAACGGTTGTAGAAGACTAGGAATAGGATGTATAATTAAGTTACATGGAGGGCTGTTTTGGGTATGATGTGATGATGTAAATAGATGATGTACGGGATTGGACGGATTGGAAGAAATTGCAGCAGCATAGGAGAGAAGAAGGTTTTCTCGTCTAAGCCATAGAGGAGGTTCATTAGCTTCACAGTACAGACTTTCTGCCGGACTAGAACGGAAAGCTCCAAGACATAAACGAATAGCTGTATTGTGAACTGTGTTCAGTGAATTTAATATTGATTTAGTACCAGACATATAGACGAAACATCCATAGTCTAGCTTAGAGCGGATAAGTGATCTGTAGACTTTCAGTAAAGTAGTTTCTTCCGCGCCCAATGATAATGTGAGAGTGTTTTGAGTATATTTAACCTTTTTAGGCAAACTCCTTTAAGTTCCTGTATGTGTTGTTTCCAGGTTAATCTTGAATCAAATATCAGCCTAATATTTTGCAATTATCAACAACCGGTAACTTGAAGTTGTTGATAGTGATTTCCGGATCAAAAGAACTCATTCTTCTGCTAAATTTAATAACTTTGGATTTAGAGTGGGAGAGGGTAAGTCCTAGAGAAGCTACTTTGTTTTGTAGGTCATTTACTCCTACTTGTAGAATTTTACTGGTAGTTGCGTTGGATTTACCATGACAGTACATTATTAGGTCATCGGCATATAATACGCATTTGATTGGTGGAGCTATATTTTCACTTAACTTGCTAATCGAAAGAATGAATAAGGATGTGCTTAAAACTGAACCTTGCGGAACTCCATCATATTGGATGTGTGGAGAAGAAAGGAAGTTATTGACAGAAACCCTGAACGATCTAGATGTTAGGAAGTTTTTGATAAATGCGTATATGTTGCCAGTAAGGTTACATTCAAAAAGTTTGTCAAGGATTGCATTTCTAGAGATGGTGTCAAATGCGCCTTCTATATCAAAGATAGTTGCTATCAAATCTTGCTTGCAATTTATTGCGTTGGAGATGTGGGTTTGGAGTATTACTAGATTATCTCTTGTGGAGCGCTGTCTTTGGTAGCCAGATTGTTCCTTTGGAATAATCTTATGTTTTTCAAAATACCACAAAAGACGTTTGTTAATCATTTTTTCCATTAGCTTACACATAGTGCATGTGAGAGAGATGGGCCTGTAAGATTGTGGAAACATAGTTGGCTGGTTTGGCTTGAGTATTGGTATAACTATAGATTTGCTCCATTGAGATGGAAATTTATGGGAACTCCAGATTATATTGTATAAATTAAGGAGTTTTTTAAGACTATAATTAGACAAGTGCTTTAGGAATGCGTAAGGAATATCATCGGGTCCAGCTGCAGTGTTTCTACTATTAGCTAAGGCAGATATTAGCTCATGCATAGTGAAAGGAGAATTAAGGGATCTACTATGTTCAGATGATATCAGATGATTTCTGTGTGAATATAAGTCATGATGAGACAAAGCAATATTATTGGTTTTATTTCTGAACTTGTCTTCGAAATGTTTGGCAAAGGCGTTAGGAATAAGTTCGTGTGAAGCGATCTCTATACCATTTGTAATTAAACGAGTAATTTTATTATTAGTTTTGTGACCTTGAATTTGTCGTATTTTTTTCCAAATTTGGCTAGGATTGGAGTTTTCGTTGATAGATGATACGTAATCTTGCCAGGATGATTTTTTTACTTTTTTTGACTACGTGTTTGGCCTTGGCTTTGAATTTTTTGTAATTTATTAGATTTTCAAGGCTTCTGTTTTTTTGGTACTTATTTAAAGCTTTTTTGGATAGACGAATCGCCTCTTCACAAGAAGAGTTCCACCAAGGAACTACTTTATGATTTGGAGAGAATGATGTTTTGCCAATATGAGTCTTAGCAGCTGAAAGAATAGTGTCTGTTATTGACGTTAACAAATAGTCTACATCGTTTATTATTAGATGATCATGCGCGAGCAAGAGAGTGTCAACGGCTTTTGAATACTCTGGCCAGTTAGCTTTTTTTAGGCGCCAATAGCTTTTGGCAGAGGCAGACCCATTAGAATTGTTGGAAATTATTATAGGATAATGATTGCTATCAAAGAGATCGTCAGCTGTTTGCCAGGTTAAAAAAGGTGCAGATTTAGGGTGACTAATACTAAGATCTATAGCAGAGAAAGATCCAGATGAAATATTAAAATGAGTGTTAGATCCTGTGTTAAGAAGACATGAGTTTGTGCAGTTAATAATATTTTCAACTACTTTTCCCCGTCCAAATGTGGATTGAGAACCCCACATAACGTTATGTGCATTGAAGTCTCCTGTGAGAATAAACGGCTGTGGAAGTTGGAATATAAGGTCTAGGAGCTCTTCTTCTTTTAGAGAATGGTTTGGGGGAATATATATGGAGCAGATGGTTAGTTTATTAGGGCAATATGTAGTTATGGCAATTGCCTCAAGATTCGTTATTAATGGTGGCATTGTTGAGAAGATTTCGCTGGACGCAAATATAGATGCACCTCCACTGGCTCTTAAGCAGTTCGTTCTAATGAAGTGGTATCCTTCAAAGGATTTAAGATGAGGAATATTCGTTGTATTAAAATTAGTCTCTTGGAGACAAAGAAAATCTGGATGGTAAATTGATATAAGATATTGAATGTGTTCAAGGCGCGGATAGTATCCGTCGCAGTTCCATTGTAAAATAGTGAATTTGATAAACTTATTTGGTTAGTAGAAAGAATTTACCTTGTACTAATTAAGTAATTTTAGAAAGGATCGATATCATTGCAGTTAGAGTCACATGAATTATTGGACGTAAGGCTGGTAAGTTCGTCAGCGTCTATAGAATTTAATGTGCGTTTTAGCTTTTTCGTTATTCTTGTAATGCGATTTTTAAGTGATCTATCGGATACAGTTTGGTATATTTGAGTAAGATCTTCGAGGAGAGAATGAATGTTCGTGGTGAAATTATGAGCTTCTTTGAGGGGATCACTACTTCCAAAGGAATTTTCTAGGAAGGCAATTATTTGTAATGCTGATAACGAAAATTTTTCTGGATTCGCACAAATTAATTTTTCAATACTTGAATGGGCACATAGACTAATTTTACAAATTTCTTTGTCATCAGTTTTTGTTTTCTTTTTAGGAGCTGATTTAGGAGTTGCGAAGGTTGTTGTGTTTGGTGTGTTATTAGAGTTTAAGTTTAGGGGGCTAGCGGTAACCAGTAGAGAAGGTGATTCAAGACTTGTGTCAGTGGAATGAGTTCTTTTTATGCCAGAGTTAGAAGGGACAGATAATGGTGTTATAGACTGTTCATTTGGGGTTGTTATGTCAGTAGGTGGGTTATTTAAATAGATTTCTTTTTTTGTGGAGGGTGAAAGAGGAGATATACTAGAATGAGGATCGACTGGATTTTGGCTAGAAGTTGTATTTGGAGAGGGATTGCTAGATATTTCTTGAGGGTTAGGGCAGGAGTCTGCAGTGTGTCCAGATTGCTTACATAAAAAGCATTCAAGTTTGTCCGAAGTAATAAAGATCCTATAAT